GTGTTTACAGTTGAATTAATAACATATCTATAAACTCTTTATAAGCCATCTATAAGGGAAGCCTTATTGTAAAGTGGTACCAAAAAAGCTTGCACAGTAAATTCTCAGTCAATTCCCAGTTTTTCATACATTTTACTGTATATAGATAAAATATTCTCAAACACGTAACGTGTGAAAAAATCCAACCATCATTTGTCAGTTAAAAGACTTTTTTACAGGATTGTTCAAATTTTCTTAAGAGAATAATTCTTTAAGCTTGATTCATTTTGGACTTTACTATTTGACTCATTAGCGCAACTAGTGTTTGAACATGGAACTGCATCCACCATCACCACGCCCATTTAAAGGACAGATGAATGACAGGACAGGGGCACTTCAGGGGGCCAATCAGATTTCAGCTGGGGCCAATGCCCCTGTGACCCCGCCCCTAAAACCGCCCCTGCCATGGAGTGAATAATTAGCTGATATAACAATGGATCTACCTGCTGACAGAGCTGAACTATTTGTTACTAGTGTTCACAAACAAAGGTTTAATTAAACTATGCACACCTTGTTTTACATACAGAACAATGATACGATATGTTTGTTTTAAACTCACCAGGTGAGGCCGTGCAGGTAGAGAAGCTGCAGTTAGCAGCAACTTGAAGCCAGAGTCTCTTAAACACATCCAGAAAGTCCATGAGTTCATATTTGACAAGGTTCAGAGTTCAACAGAACAGCGGAGCTGAGAAACCAGACCAGGAGCCAGGTAAAAAGGTAAGTGATTCTATTTTTATTTACAGGTGAGGATCGGGACGTCTTGCTGAAAGAAGAGTGAAGTGCAGAGGTAAGTATTTGTTCTTGAATGAAWATTGTCAATGTTGAGAAGTTATTAAAGTTTGTTGTTCTTACAGGTTCTTTGGAGGTGAGCAGCATGGACCAGAGGAGAGTTTCCAAACAGGTGAGAGTTCTTCAGGCAGAGTGGCCTTAAAGGAGGATGTTCTTGGACTTTGATCTTGATGATTGGTTCCTTGGTTGTCATCTTGGCAGGGAGGAATCGTTGAGTGGTGAGTGACCAGACTGGTGGTTCTGAAAAACAACTTGACACCTTGGATACAAAAGAGCATGAAGGTAAGTTCTAAGGTTCTTCAGAAAACACTTGTGGTGGCTAGTACTCTACCTGAGAGGTTAGATGCATCAGYGTGGACCAGTCGGTGAAGGTGCCTTATAAAGCTCATCAGCTCGTCAAGATGCGGCCGATCAGGCAGAGAACCAATCAGCCATGAGCCAAGCCAACTCTTAACAGTATTATTATTAATTCAACTTGAACGGTGCAGCTTTAGCTAGCCTCTAACTAACAGCTGACGAGCCGGCTCGGGACATGTCCGCTCGCTGAGCTTCACTCTAWCTCCGGCACAAGCTGTGGGTCGAGCGGGTGGAGTTTAAACACAATCTCTATGGGTTTTTCTTATCAGTCGGATCACACACCGGCTGACCAGTGAGRAGCAGAACCAGCTGCTCCAAGCTGTGTTTATTTTTTCCTCTCCCGGTTTAAATTAACATATATACGGCCAATCAGATATCTTTTTTTTTTGGCTTGTTGTGGGAAACATTGGTTATGTTTGCTTCTCTCACTCTTCTCTGACCAGCTCCAATGGTCGGAGCAGAGATTTATAACTTTGGTCGAAAGGGGAGAGTCTGGCCAGGCTGGCCGAGGAGTGCTGAGAGATTTCATTGGATTAGCTCCATGTCGTTCAAGAGAATCAACCAATGGGCCGTTGCGGTCGAAGAAATATTAGTTATAATATATTTTTTTGGTTCATGACAGGCCAGCCCAGCCCAAAATCACCACCGACCCACCAGGCAAGTGTCCGCTATGCCCGATGGTCAGTCCAGCGCTGGTGGAAGCCAATGTGGATTAACTGCGATTAACTGCGGCAAACATCTTGCATTGGATTGTTAGATTTATGTCTAATAGTCAAGTAGTTTCCCTAATATCTGTCCTGTGGTTCCTATTTTGCTAAGAGACAAACAGGGTTGACTCCGGTAGTTATTGCTAAAGCAAAGTAGTAGGCTACTGTTGTAAATGACTCTGACAGAGCCACAAAAACTTTTTTCCTTCATATCTGTAAAACTGGCTGATTCTTTTAAGAAGTGGATCGTTTCTTTTATTTTATTTTTTGTTTTTATTTTAAGACTGAGGAACAGATTTCTCAGCTGGGTTTTCCTTGCTCCGTAGTCATGATGGATGTGTCAGGGCTGCAGTCTGCTTCTAATGAAGGAAACCAGCCTGACTGGTTTTAATGAAGACTTTAAATTCCTCTATTGTTTATCATAAAACACACATAAAAGTTCTACAACACAAGGCATGGCGTTTGCTGTCAGAGTCGTTTTAACTCTGAATCGACTGATCGAATTAAAAAGAATGTGAACTTTGTAAAAAAAAATTTTTTTACAGTTATTAAAAAAGCACCACAGTTGTCTAAATTCTCATTACAAGTATTAACTCTAATTTCTGTCTGATTTGGACTTGTGACAAGAGCACCTGTACAACTTCCTATTTATATCTTTCAAAATAAAAGCACACCCATGCAACTAAGAAACTGTAAAAAAGAAAAAGTAAAAAGAGTATATAGGTCTTACYAGCAGGTGGCACTGTGGCTCAGATARTAAAGCTGTTGCCTCCCAATATGAAGGTTGCTGGATCGAATCCTGACCAGSGACCTATCTGAGTAGAGTTTGSTTGTTCTCTCTGTGCATGTGTGGGTTTTCTCCAGGCACTCCACTTTCCTCCACCAAAAACATGAATGTTGCCRGGGCGGCTGTGGTAGAGTGGCTAGGGGAGTTGTCCTGGAACCAGAAGGTCGCCGGTTTGATCCCCGTCCAGTTGACTCAGTCGTTGTGTCCTTGTGCAAGACACCTTACCTGCCTGGCCTACTGATGATGGTCAGAGGGGCCGGTGGCGCCTGTGTATGGCAGCCTCTCCTCTGTCAGTGTGCCCCAGGGCAGCTGTGGCTATAATTGTAGTTTACCATCATCAGTGTGTGAATGTGTGTGTGCATGGTGGATGTCTGTAGTGTGAAGCACTTTGAGTGTCCTAGATGGATAGAAAGGCGCTACATAAGTACAGTCCATTTACCAACGTTAGGCTGAATTGTTCCTAGGTGTGAGTGAATTGTTTTTATCTTATTTGTCTTTCTATCCCCGTGATGAACTTGCGACTTGTCCAGTGTGGACCCCACCCTTCGCCCAGTGATTGCTGGATATGGGCACCATTGACTCTGAAGGGTAAAAGATAATGGCTAGTAATTTTACTCATTTTACTCATTTTACGACTTACAAGACGTATAAACACTTTTTAAACTCATTTAAAAGTACTGGTTTTAAAAATTCTTCCAGTATAAAAGTAATGTAAGGTGGGAAAAAGCCATTAAGTATAAAAGCTTAGGCAGGACCACAGGGGTGCACAATCCCACCTTTTGAAAAAACAAAAAATAAAAAAATCTAAAGGCCATAATGACTATAAAATACAGTAAAAAGTTAATGTTGAACAATTTTTGGATACACCAGGCTTCCTGTTTTAGCTGTATTTATGTCTCAATTTATAAAACAACATTATTAAACCAATAGGATGCAGTGTTGTATAWAGTACCACAAAGTAATACTTGAGTAAAAGTACAATTATCTTACCAAAACATTACTTTGGTGAAAGTTAAAGTCTCCTTTAGGAATATTACTTGAGTAAAAGTCTTTAAATATCTGACTTTTTTTTGTATGTAAGTATTAAATGTAAAAGTATTGATTTAAAAGGAGCAGTTAGATTTTCTGTGATGACATTTGTGACCTCCCCCAACACAATGCAGAAATGAYTGTCGTATTAAAATAATTTATGTTAAATTTAGGATGCACTAGTCCAGCTGTTTCAGTTTATATACATATATCAAGGCTGCACAAACATTTTCCCTAAAATGAAAATCTATCTGAGGGCTGCAGCCAAATGCAAAAATATAATTCATGAAATACAAATACTTCTTAAGTACAGTCCTTTTATTTTTAATGATTGTGTCCTGCTGGAGTGTGATGTGATTTGTTTGTGTACAAACTAATACACTATCAGGGTTTTATATATTTAAACTTCTCATTTAACCACAGTTAAATTCACTYTATCTGGGAGGGACAATTTGTATGGARAGTATAAGCAGCTGGGATGAAAACGAGCAAAAATGGCACAGCCTTATATATGGATATGTGTATATATTTATGCATGCCATCCACATATTTATCCATTTATTTTTCAGGTGAGCGGACAGATGTTGGGTGTGTGGTCCTGTGTTTTCTTGGTGTATATTTAATATACTTCTAATCTCTATTTCAATCTTTCTAATTACCTTTCTCTTTGTTTTTCCCTCTTTTTCTATTTTCTCTTTACTTAAAAAAATCACTGATGATGAAGAAATTAAGAAACTAATATTAGGTTCTTTTTTCTACTGAAGTAATAAAAAAGGAAAATATGGGACAATAAGATCTTTACTATAAGATGAATTGTTGGTTGTTATTACCCTTACTGTTACTGCCTACCAC